AGTGCTTGAAGATTACTCTGTGTGGCTATAAACGACTGTTAAATGGAATGATGAATTGTTGAAGGATTTTGAAAACGGAAAAAATGATAGTCATGCCGGCCCAGCATCCTCAACGTTGAAAAATGCGCCGGCACGAAGTGGTTAAAAGTCTTGCATGGTACAGTTTCACTAGTACAGTTTATGAATAGATGTTTGGTACTACAAAATCAGAAAATGCAATTTAGTAAAGATAAAGATGTGCAGAAGCACATCTCGTCTTGCACTTATCAGAGCATTTATGCAAGAATGACATTAGATGCTAATGGACAATAGGACAATTCCACACCAACTGTGACATGATTGCCAAAGTTTCAAATTGATTTTAAAGTTTGTGTTCACTATTGCTAGTCAGGGGTACACCTTAATGAATCCGAGGGGATATCAAGGCAATACCATATGGAAAACTATAAGTAATAAAACAATTCTTAACATTTGTGTTTTACATGTACATGTATATTTCTATACAGGCAACGTCCGTAATACAAAATGTAATGTCCATAAAAGTCTTAATAAACAAAATTGGACTTTACAAGGGTACTTTTTTCTAACTGTCAATTCAAGCCCTGGACAGAATGGACTCGGGCCAACTGCAACATAGGAGAGTATGTATAAAAAGCTACAGGAAGCAACTTCACAGAGTTTTCTTAAATGTACCCGAGGTCAAAAAGCCATGTCACAATGCGTAATGTTTGTAAGATTCGTTTCTCTCACTTGTAGGTAATGAATTAGTGAAGCTAGAACAAAGTTTCTTTAACATGTTTAACAGTTGAATATAGGCCACTGGTATAAAAGCAAACACACTGTTTTTTCCACCAAGTGTAGTTGAAACTTCGAAATTCCATAAGCGTAACGTCCGTAACAATGGAATTGCCCAATAGTAAAGTTTAATCTGCAAATATTATTATTATTTGGAAGGAGTAGGTTTTTCTTTTTATTGAAGTATTTCCATGGAAAGCGAAAGCTGTAAATTAAGATTATTAACATATCCTTGTTTATACTGGATACCTCAGGTATTGCTGATTTGCAAGCGTTGCTCATACATTTTTTGATAGAATGGCATGCTGAACTGGACACATCGCTCAATATCCATGGTGATTTTAGATTCTTTAGGGCTTGTGGTAGCCTGTTTGGTCAACTCTGTTTTGTGGAAACCAGTGCTGTTGCGGAAGTTTTCATAGCTTGGTGCATACTGGATGATCTTTTTGAATGTCGTGCCCACAGTCCAAGTTTCCACAACATCTGTCCCTTTTTTCCATGTCAAGAGAGAATCAGAGTATGGGATTCCCAGCTTGGTGCACAGTGCTGACATTATGGCTGCTGGGTTTTGGACAAGGTCGTCTGCATCTATGATGACTGGATTGCTATCTAACTGATTCTCCTTAACGTATTGGTACAATTCATAGCCCTCCTGAAAGGATTTCCCAGGAGGCAACAGATGTGGAGGTTGGTGGTCAAAGACAAACTCATCCAGAGATGCTGGAACCTGACTTGGGAATTCTGGTATGGCTGTCAGGACCTCATAGGTCAGTTTCTTCCAGGAAGGAAAGACTTTGCTTGGGTGCCGCAACAAGAAGACATGATGATAACCCTCCGGCAGACTGTCGTACCTGTGGTTCAAGCAGTAGACAATCTCCTTGGAGATGATGATCTCTTTGTCAGGATAATCTTGCTGAAGGGTCTCCTTTATCCAGTTGTATGTGCAGATTGAGCTGGGGAAGGCGTATCCTTTGTCAGTGTGTATGGGGTCCTGCGTTGGCTCATTATATGGAGTCTCCTCTTCGATCGAGGTCTGGTTCAATCTGTCTGGTCCCAACAGAAATGCTATGCTGTACAATTCATCAAATACCTTGGTATTTGGTAGGCTGCTCATGCATTTGAGGAGAGCTGTGGAGCATGTGCGTGGTGATGACCAAATGATGATTTTAACTGGTTTGCCCATGTTCAAGCTTGTGCAGTTTGAGAGAGTGATGAAATTTTACTCTGCTTTCGTGAGGGAAGTGTTATGTGGTAGTGGAGTTGACTTGTGCAAGGGCAGTTGTGTCTCTGTTGAGACACAGGTACACACATGTACAATATATGCGTTGTTCAAAGATAAAAGATGTGTGTCCTTTGACCTTCATGCTCACTGCGTACAAATGTATAGTGCTGGTATACAGGTGATTTGTTACTGAGGGAAATATTCTATTGGAGTCACGTATCTTTCTTATCCTTTTACCCTTATTCAAGGCCTTCAGGGCTTTTATGCTGTACAAATAGTGAACAATACCCTGACATCAACTCAGGACATGGTGCTAGTGTAATTGTTTGTTGAAGGCTATGCTGTACAGTTTGACTATTGGCTTAATGATATATCTCTGTTGCCCTCTTTGCCCTTATTCAAGGCCCTCAGGGATTTAGGGTGTGCAATTAGTGAACACCAACATAACAACTCCAGCAAATTAAAGAGGCCATGAGGTGGATTTTACCCACTTTTTGTACAACTTGGTGTAGTTTTCCTCTGGAATGTATGAAAATGTTTGACATTGTTTTGGGGTTAAGTAAATATTTAAAAGTGAACTTTATAAAAAAAGATTTTAAATTTTTGATGTGTTTCCAGACAACTGAGGAAGTTATTGCTCTGATGTGATTGGTAGAAGACACTATTCAGTACATATTTTCCTATGAAATTGTGGACCAATATATATATACTCTTTAGAAACACTTCTGAGAAAGGGTTGCTTTTTGTTTTATCACCATGTGCTTACATGTACTTAACAATAAATAACGATAGAGAGAAATCACAAAAAACAAGAAATCTTGGACAGCATATATCTCTTTTTTGGTATATTTCATAGTCAAGTTTGACAACAAGTGTTCTTATATTTTAGTGGTGTGGATGTCTGCTCAATACAACTGAGATGTGTTCAAATATATGTACATGTACATGTGTGTAAATGGCATTTTTCTCATACCTTCTTGAATTGCCCTGCACAAGCTAAGACTGCATTTTTTTTCAACAACATGTGGCGTATTTGTCATTTAATTGACTTAGTAAACAGGAGTACTTGAGAACTGAAACGGAGTTTACTCATTCATGGTGTACTCGGTACACTGAATATACATGTACATGTATGCATTGTGGTCCTAGCACTTGTGGGGCTTTTGGTTTTTAGTTTGGTGTTGTTTGTTTTTTATTGTTTTTTAATTAACACGCTAAATAAAGGCTCCCCTTTAGCTAATGAATGACAGTGGTACAGTAGGCATGTGTGACTCAGGTCATGTGCATTTGAATAGTGCTGTGCACAACTACATGTACATTCTACTGATACATAAGGACATTTAATTTGTGTAGGGCATGTGAGAGTTGTACCATGCAGTTTTTTCTAAAGTAAATAGACTATTTCTATTTACTGCCCTCATTGGTCGGTTCTTAGAACTCGGGAAGATGCCACTTTTCATAAACTGAGTTAAACACTTTGCTCAAATATCCAAATGCACATGATGGTGTTGCTTGGGTGTGGGCGGTGACTTCCGCTACTGAGCAGTCATTGGTTACATACCTGCCTAAGTACATGATGTGAGTGACATTCACTGACCTACATGAATTGTCTATGAAAAACTCAGCTTCATCTCCTGTACAATTAGTTTCTGTTTGAGCAGTGTTGGTACCTACAAAGACCCATCTTTTTAGTGAGGTGGTTATAAGCTGACAGGGCCGCAATCCACCAGAGGTACATGCATTGCTAAAATAGCTATGTTGTCAGCATACTGTTCAGCCTTCTGTGATGTACAGGGTGAAAAGTAGATCACCATCATAGCGAAATCTGACCTTTACACTGTATATGGTTGATCTTCTTGTAAGCAAACCAAAGTAACACAGCTGTGTACGTACATGTATTTTACAGTGTTGGTGCCAGCTTTCATTCTTGCTGGACACCTCTGTTACACTCTGACAAGACAGTTTGAATTTATCTTTGACAATGAGCCCTGTGCACATATTGTTACATCACTTTTTGATGAGTAACTTTAGGCGAGGCTTTGATGAAGCCCACAAAAGCTACATGTACTATGTATGCAAATTTTTTGCTGCTCTCTGGTCTTCTCTGGTAATTGTCCAAGTTAAAGATTCCATTGACAGAACTTCTGCTACTGTGATACCCAGACTGAGCTAGCTTCAGGATATATTTTCTCCCCTGCTAGATGTTAGAGTTTCTGCAAGATGAAGTCAACGAAGACTTTACCAACAGCACTAAAGAAGTGAAGCATTTCAAGAAATTCAACAAATCATAACGTCATCCATGAAAAACAGTAGCATAACACAACTTTTATAAAGTGTTGGTGTGCATTGGAGGTGCTTATCTAGAGACCTTAGTATAAAACACAGTGTGTGTAACATTGTAACTTGTCAAAATGTTATTATTACTATTGGTATTTTGGTCATATTGCAGCTACTTGAACAAACAGAAGATTCACTCCAGCTTGGTATAACCTGCGGATTATGTACGTCACTTCTGATCCTTGGGAATACAGAGAAGGCAGATGAGGTAGAAATATGTTGTAATATGGAATAGTGTCCCCCTTTATCGCTCAGATTGATACTGCTGATCTCCATGATTTTGTCATTATTAGGCCTGTGAACACAGAAAGCAGCACAAAGCAGTATTAATACATGTATATCGCAACAGAGGGCTTTTTAACAGTGGCTCCACTTTTAAAAATACTGCCCTGGTCACAATGCTAATCTGTACCCAATTTCATGCTTGTACGTAGAAACCCACAATTCTCTACCAATTGGGCTGTTACCTTCATAACAATTTATAAGAAGCAAATGGCTTATACCTGGTAATAACTACATGTATGTACTAATAATCCCCATGATACCTGTACTGTGCGTATTTGCAATGTGCCATGTGTACAGTATGTGCTGCTTGACCAGAATGCTTGCAAAATCATTACATGGTATTTTGAAGGAAAAAAGCTGATACTTGTTAGTGCTGTGGCTTATCACTGCATTATGCAATATACACACAATTCATGTCTGTCCATGTTTTATATTAAATCTGCTTACATATGTACCATAGTTCCATACATGAACAGGCCCTGAGATTGGCAACATATACATGTGTACATGAACATAGTCATACATGTGTGTGAAATAAAAGATTATCAAACACTCAGAAGCATTGCAATTAAAGACAAATAGAGGAAGGACACAGAAGGAGTTGTAACTCTGGCACTTCAAAGTGTTCAATGATCATCGCCGCCGAGTCTGACAAATAATACAAAATATTCCAAAAATGCCTGATTACTGCCTGCATTTTAGCCAGACAAGCGGGGCCAGTAATATCCTAGCGATACTTGAAGTGATTTGCTTGCAATTAAATACAAATTAGACTTAGAAATAGAGAGAGAAAAATCCCTGATATTAGACCTATTTTTGCCATCCTGAATAAACTTTTTAAATTTTAATAAACTGTTCCATTATCCATGTAAAAATTTGTAATTTTGTTCTCCTCCCTCCAATACATCAGTTTTCAAAGATTTGGTACGAATTTGGCAAAGACTGGCCAACAAAATGTTGTCTGTTACTGGAAAGCTAAGCTCATAAGGAAGAGTGTTTTCTATTTCATCACAGGGAGTGATCATGGAAAGCTAAGTTCATGAGGAACAGTGTTTGCTATTTCATCACAGGGAGTGATCATGGAAAGCTAAGTTCATAAGGAACAGTGTTTGCTATTCCATCATAGGGAGTGATCATGGAAAGCTAAGTTCATGAGGAACAGTGTTTACTATTTCATCACAGGGAGTGATCATGGAATCTCGTCAAATCATGTTTTGTATAAATGCCATAATAGAAATGATTCAAACAAAACACAACATCTTGTAAACAATGGGTCTATTTATTCCCAAAATAACTCCAGAATCAAGCGTTCATTAAGGGCAATGACTGCACAGGTACATTTGGGTACACGGTGTAATAAAAGCAACTGCACAAGCAGTAAGTTTGATGTTGTCAACCATGAGATCATATCAAGCACCAACAAATGTATGAATATTCAATTTCCTATAACTCAGTACACAAAGTTTTGTGGCAGTGATCATCGGGTACAAAGAGGATTTGTGATTATGAAACAGATGGTACACAGCAAGCGCTCACTGCACTCTTGCTATGGACATAATGGGCATGCCAGAAAATGGTCATTGGCCAGATGTTACTGCCCCGGCAGTTCAAACTCCTGTGTCCTTCCTCTATGATTCAATTAAGTCATTCCTATCACCACCCATATGCACATGCTTGAGGCAAAAAACATCTTTGGATGAAGTACTTGTAAAAACTCTGCTAACTGGATTAGTTTGTATTTTGTAGTCCTTGTGTTGTGTAGTCCTTATCCTGTGTCATTCCTCTTTAGAGGAGCAGATGTGAATGCAGCAAATGTAGGTATCGTTTGATATCAATATTCTTTGATTGCTTCTTTTTGCTTTTCAGATTTATAAAAGAGCACTTCTCATTGATGCTAATGATAGTAGGGTGATAGCACTCCAAGGCCAGATCTTCATCAACCAAAAACAACTTGATAAAGCAGAGCAGAGGTGAATGGATTTGTAGACCTTGTCAATGGTTGAATTTGATAAAAGTAAACCTGGTAAAAAGGATAAAGAAGGTTGATGAACAATGTACGGTAGCCTTCTATTGTCAACTTCTTGCTAGTTGTGCAAGAAGTGAGAATAGCATGGTTTGCATTCCACATGGAGTCAATCTAACATGATGTGAATGTCAGTGGCACAATACCAAATGGGGCAAATCACTTCCCAATAGGAGACTTTGAGGCACTTGGTGGCGACAAACATACCGGTCCGTTTACCCAGTTCTAAGCATGCGCAATACCTTGAAAAAGGACCGGTATGTCTGCTGCCACCAGCGTCTCAAAGTCTCCCATTCACATACAGGTGATGAAAACCTCCAGATCAAATCCTGTTGTCACATCCATGATTTAGTGTTGGATTGTTAACTTTCATACTTGTGAATGTGAGAATGTGAATTTTGCAGATGTGACTTTGTTAATTCCACGTGTATCTATCATCAGAGATTTACATGTGTACATGTATTCAGAGAAGAAAGGGAAGGATTGATTCGAACTGATGGTATAACTATGCTGTTTATTTACTACTCAATTGACTTTGGCACTTTTAAAAAGGCAGAAACATCTACTTGACACTTGTTAACCCTAACCCCCAGGCCCTTTTTGCTAGGGACCCTCCTCGATCCTCCAATTTGGGGGGGGGTGAAGAAATTGGATTCTCCCCCAATCCTCTGAAATCCTCCAAAGTTCTTGAAAATGTTATTTGGAGGTGTGCCTACTGCCTCAATCCTTCAAAATCCTCCAGCAATTCCTGTCATTATGTTGAGGCAGAGCAAATGGCATTCTTGAGCAGTGCAATTGATTCAAAAGAAATATTGGGCTGAAGTTATGCATGACTGAGCAAGAACAATACAAGGTCTAACCCACGACCTTCATGCATGCCATCCTTTACAATTAGGCAAGTGCTTTTGCCATTCACCCTCAATCCTCCAAAATCCTCCAAAACTGCCCAAAGGATTTTGGAGGATTGAGGAGGGTTAGGCTTAACCATGATTGACTAGCACTGAGTAACCACATATTGACCAATTCCATTGATTGCTTGAGATTTGAATTGGTCCCACCCAAATTTCCTTTCTAGACAGGTGAGCAACTTTTCCAAGGATCAGCTAATTTCCTCATATTTCACGTAACACTCATGTCACTGAAAATTGAAAAACACTGTACAAAATCTTGTTCAAATTGGTATTTCCTCATCTTTTGTCAAAGTCCAAGTTGCATGCCTCTCTAGGGTATGTCTTTGCCAGTATTGATATTTCCAGATACATTGCGCAACAAACTTCATGAATTTTGTCTGATGTGATGTTAAGAATATAGTGGAGATTCCCAAAGCAGCTCAGGTATATTAATATCAAAGCTCTCAATGGGAATTTTGCCTCAATCAGGTTTATACAGGCACTAGAAGGAGCGCCTGACTGTGGACTGTTTCATTTATGGCTGGGGAAGGTGTACTGGCAGATGGGAAGACAAACAAGAACTGATAGGTCTAAGATGCTTGCATCATTGTTGAAGGTAACAGGAACCATTCATATGGTAGCATGATATAATGCATTGGCCTCAAAGAGACCAGCATGTGGCATTTCTTAGCATCCTACATGTTAGTTAACAGTTTTCATTGCTTACATGTGCTACACATGCAAGTTCTGATATAAGACACATCAGTTTCACTGTGGATACAAAAACATGTACAAATATTTCAACTTGAACATGGGTAATTCCAGAAATTAGGGGTCAATTTTTTTCGTTTCCCTTTCACATCTGATGTATGATTTAAGTAAGTTCAGAATTCATTTTCTAATTTCTAAGAGTGATGAATTCATGCAAATTACCTGCCAAAGAAATACTAATAGTTTGAAATCAATTCTAGTGATATTTCCATGTCAAATAACAAAGGTCAGATGTAACAGGGACACAAAAATGTCACACTTTTGTATCCCCAATTTCTGGATTACCAACGTGCATTTCAAATTGTTCAAAAATTGTAAAAACTTATGCAAAGCTTTTTCAGTAAACAGTTTGAAAAATGACCTCTCTGTGGTGATTTCTGTGTAACATTTGTTGGCCCCTTTGTTTAATATAATTTTAAGATTTGTTTGTCTCTTATTTCTCTCCCGACCCTTTTCTTTCGTTATTTCTTAACATATCAAACCGTCTGTCAGTGCAGTTTTTATACTAGACCCTTGAAAATGCACCTTGGTGTTCCAGTTACCCTTATTTTCAAATTAGTTTCGCTATATTAAAAAAGTATTTTGGTTCCTCTTTGGTTTGAGTGCTGATGCAAATTTCCATATTCAAAAGTAATACTGTGATGCAAGTCCAGGGAGGAAACCTCATTGTTGCTTTGGTTGATCCACAAAACTGCTGGAATTTTCAGAAAATTTTCTTTTCGTTTTTGATTTACTGTTGTGTGAAGCACATGGCAATATCCCAACAGGCAACCCTTTCTCAGAATTTTTATCAGTTTATCCCCTGGACTGTTTAATCAGAGATTGGGTTTTCAATTGTCTGAGTTTATATTTGATTATAGTTTTCAAACATTTTATATTCTCATGTATTATATTGCTTGCTTTCCATGTTAAAGTGTGTTTAATATTGTTCAAGTTATTTATTTTGTAATATGACTGTGTTTCTCTGTTCATCTAGGCAGCGAAATTGGACCCATACTATTCAGACACGTTTCTTTACCTGGGACATTTCTACTGGCAAGTTGCTGGAGATAAAAGGTACCCGACTTTTCAAGATCAACTTTCCTCAAAATGTTTGCATGTAGTGGCAGTAGAGTGGAAGTTTTTCCATAGATACTTTTATTCTTGACACTGGCCTTATCTGATAACTTGCTGATGCTATTTTGAATGAATTTATCTTGTTTTCTGTGCTACCAGTAAAGGGAGAAAATGTTACCAGAAATCCTATGAGTTGAACCCCCAGAATGAAGTAGCAGCCGCAGCTCTTGGGGATGCTTGCATTGAGCTTGGAGAAGAGGTAAAGACATACATTACCAAGATAAAAGGCATTGTGTAATAGGTTTATAGAATGTCCAGAGGTTATGTTGATGTTTGAACTCCTACACGTAATGGGGGGGTAGTCATGCTGATATCATGTGACACATAAAATTCTAAACTGTTGAATATGGATGATATACAATACAGTGTGCCCCCAAGAGCAAAAGTCTATTATTCTGTTGTTGCAACCATACTCTCTTTGTACAAGGCCTTTAGATTTGATGTGTTGGATGGAAATAGTCGAAGATTGCATTTTTACTTGAAATAAAGAGGGCTGAAAATAAATATTGTGTTAATGTTCCATACATAAGCAGTGTCATACAAATGATTTTGTGTAGGCAGGGTGCTGACTCTTCAAGGCAAGGTGCACTACATTGCAAATTGCTCTTATCAGCATAATAGGTTGGGCTTATTGAAACATCCATTAACGACTGAGTTAAGACTAGGTTGCCTTTTGTCTTATTGTAGGATGCAGCCCTGCAGCTGTATAGAAACGTGACTAAAGCTGCTGCAGCAGGGACAGCCAAATGGGCATGGTTGAGGCTGGGGTTGTATTACCACAAACAGGGCAGCTGCAACGATGCTGTGGCAAGGTACGTTAACTCTTAAAAAGATACAACAGATATTGCTTAAGAAAGAACCATTATGTAAGTCCAACACAGTGATCTGTTGTGAATACAAAGGATAACCCTACTTGGGTTTTTTCCTGAAAATCTGAATTACTTTAGCCTATCTTATGTAGTAACTTTTTAAATTTTGTTGTTGATGTTTTCATTTTTGCAGCTTTCAAGCAGCACTAAGAGCTGATCCTAAAGACAGGTATGTGGGTTCCTGGAAAATACCAGAGGTTTTGAAGTCTTTGTAATAATGACAGAGTACTCAGGTTGTCACTTTCAGCCAAGGCAGTTCAGTGCAGATTTTTAGTGCAAGAAATTTGTTGAATATGTAACAAAGGCATTAACTGCATATTTTGGTTGGAGAGTTTGATGTCTTTATTGTCAGACAGTTTTGCACAACTACTGTGTTGCATTATAGGAGACAATGAGCCCCAAGCTGGACCAAGAGAGGGTGCAATTTTCCTAGCAACAGAAGCTTCTTTGGTGGGAACTGCACTTCACTGGTTCACAAATGACTATGCAATGTACATGTTACAGTTGCGTTGCTACCAGCAAAATGAACATTCCTCACCAACATAGCTCTTTTCAATTAATAAGGGGGTGCCATAAGGGGGCTCTCAAGGCAGATAAAATAGGATTATTAAGACACCCTATGCACCCTCCTTGGACACTCATCCTACGGCATAACCATGCTCATATTGATAATATCATATAAAAGTTGTGTTACACCTTGTATACTCTGTTATAAGTTTAAGAATTGTAACCTTTATTTGTTAACAGAAATCTCAAATATATAATTTCCCTGACTATTGCTCTTCATTATGCTATGTGTAACTGAACTCAGTGCCTGTAAAACTGTTTGTCAGAGTAGAGGGGGATACATTGTGTGGACATCAGAAGTCCCCAGAACATCTTCGAACCCTTTATTACAGGTTCACACAAGCTTCGTAAAACCAGCTCACTGGTACAGATGATTGTGGCACAACCGATGTTTATCCAATGTTTAACTCAAAGCATCTTCGAGTGGTCGCCATACAGTGGGAGTGTGGCTGAGGTATCTGTCATCTTTAATTGTTATCATTGAGGGGATTTCAGTGCACAGAGCTAATTGAAGGTTCCAGTTGTTTGAAATACATTGATGTTCCAAATTCAAGTATAATGCCGTTGTTTTTTGCTGTAGGCATATCTGGGAGTGTTTGGGAGATGCATACATGAGTAGAGGCAGCTACACAGCTGCCTTAAAAGCTTTCTCCAGAGGTGTAGAGGTATACACATTGTTCTTTTTCTGTTGTATTAGAGGGACATGGGATATTAGAAGATTTTTTTACTTGGAATTTTTGAAGTGGACTTTTGTATCCAAGTTGCTTCAAATGTTCATCTTTGCTTTGTCATTTAAGGACATTTAGGGGCTTTTGCATTGTAAAACAGGCTTGTGGATTTGTGTAGTTTAAGGTTAAGTCACTTGTTTGGACGAACTTAAGTAACGCTTATGAATTCCTTTATTTGAACAGCTGGACCCCAATGCCAAATACTGCTTATTTCAGTAAGTACTGCTGTTGATCTGGTCATCTGCCATTAATAGTAGGTATTTTCTGTGGTATTTGTTAAATGTTATACTGAGTGAATCTGAAAATATTTTCACTGAACATTTGTTTCAGAAATTTCTGAGCCTAAAGAAACTGACCTCTGGAATCTCACTCGTTCTTACATGTTTCTGTGTGATTGTCTAGTGTAGTCATAATAAAAGATATCATTGGTTTTTACATAGATGTTATTTTCATACCTGTAGCAAAGAGCTCATGGTGCAGCTTTTTCTTGTAAGCCTTGATGAAATCCGGTTTTTTTTTCAATTTTGTTTGCAGAATTGCTGCCATCAAGCAGACACTTGAGGCCTATGCAGAAGCTGTGACTGAGTACCAAGTCATCTTGGATAGTGACCCAGACTATATTCCTGCCCTTAAAGGTAGGAACTCTCACTGCCATATCTAAATCAACAAACCCCAATGCTCCCATGAAAGAAATGGCTAGCCAGTTCAAGCTGGAGCATGACTAAATAGGGAGTTATGTATAGGGAGGGTGTTCTGGGGTTCAAATGCAGCAGCTGGTTTAAGAAGTTCATTGAGGTAGACCTTGTGTTGCAGATGAGTTTTACTGCCCATGGCTGGACATTGCAGCAAATATCGCTTCACCCTGGGGCCTTAAGAGTGTTGCAAAAGACAATGACTGCCTGTACTGCAGACTTCTCATGCTATTTTGCCTTGTGGTCCTCATCCAGAACTGTCCTTTGAAACAGTTATTTTTGTTTTTAGGTCAGGGAGAGACCTATGTCCGTCTAGCCCGATCCTCTCTGCATCAATACTTCAATGGCAGGGTTGTGGACTACATCAAATTAGCCATCCAGGTCTTGGCTCGGTGAGGATGTGATTGTGGATTATTGTTCGGCAGTGTGGTTAGCATACACTGGTAATAGTGCAGGGGATCAGGTTAATGGATGTGCTTTGCATATGAGTATGTTAAACACTAAAGCTCTGCTAGCCAAGCAAAAGTAGGGTTTTTCTGCCAAATTGCATTGTGATATACTGCTTGAGACTTAGTCTAAGCTCAGTTTTGCTTAAGGTTTAAATTCACTTCTGATTACAGCAGAAATTAAACCTTGGAACTTTTTGAAGTGAAGCGTTATGGCATAGCCCCAGAATTGTAATGTGTCTCAATCGATACCATTTGATGTTAAACATTAATGCTGCAAACTGATTCTGGCTTGAAAAATTGTTGCACATATGGTAGGTTAAGAATTTTGTTGTACATAGTACTTCATCTAACCCTGCCCAGTTCCCTGTGTATGAATTACTAAGCTTCAGTGTCTAGAGTGATTCAAGACTACCTTTCCATATTGTTCAGAGCTGCCTCCTTGCGTCCTGATCTGAGCTGTGTCTGGAAGCTTCTAGGTGATGCCTGTACAATGCTGCATCCCCTCAGTGATAAACTGATCAGGTTGGTGTCTTCATAACCTCCTGGTGGAGATGTATGAATGTGTGACAGAGGAATGCACACCAGTGTGGGTGCATAATGTCAAATAACAGTCAGGTGACCACAGTGCTCCATTCATTCCAGTATAGTGTATACCCAGAATATGTAGTTTGGCATGTTCTGATGCTACAGCCAAGTACATGTAGGTCTGATGATTTCCTGTAAATGTCTGTGTGAAAAGAAATCCAGAATTCCATTTCAATCACAACAAAACCTTCCTGCTTGTAATTAAATTTGCCATGTAGTTGACGTCCACTGAACGTGACAAGTGTTTTTCATTAAACCACAAAATGCACATAAATCCTCCAAAAACGGCACAAATTGTACACAGAATTACTAGAATCCCATCTCTCTTTTAACATGCAGTTTAGTATTTTCTCCAGAAAGTAAGAATTCCTTTCCCAAAGAACACAAAGTTTTTGACCTTCCCAAAGATATCCAGTACAGTGTGGTTGGGCTCCTGAAATGGATATGACATGGAAAGCAGCTGACGGTTGACTCGTCATACTCGGAAATTAACTGAAACTTTCATTTTGTATTTCAAGCACTTAAGGGTGCCATTATTCACAAGGCCCTTTGTTTTCACTGCCAAACATTACATTGTTTTGTCTTTACAGTGTGCAGGTACCAACTAATTTATTGGACCATTCATTCCATGGGGAGGCTTCTCAGAACAAGAAGCAGTTACTGTGCATTGGAGCCAGGTACAAAATTGTATAAATACAGACTTGGTGAAAAAAAAAAGCTATCACTCCTGTTATTACCATTGTATCATATATGTATGACAATTTTTTTTGATAAAAACTTGGTGAGTCTCCAGCCATTCCTGATCTTTCAAGAGAAAGTTGTATCAATTTATTCAAGGCCTGCCTTATTCAGACAGTACTTTCCTAAGGACAGCTACTTTGGAGATAATAACCTATATATGAATTTTTAATAAATGTGCAAAGTGTTTAGTATCATGCTTTTTTTCTCAGTTGTGTCATAATCTGCCTTGATCTGAATAAGTCCACCTGATCTCAAGGTCATTAGATTTCCGCCTCCAGCTATTCAAACACTGAGGGTCTTGTTTGAGCAGCTTCAACCATATTCAACTACAAACTGTAACTGAATGCATGCTGATCTATGATAGTTGACCAGTCTATTCAACTATTCAGTGGGTCTAGGTTGGCTATAACACGTCACGGTGGATGACAGAGGGTTAGTACCTTTAGTTGCCTTGATGGGGTTTAACCATAGTTCGTTTGAAGATGCTGTTACGTTAATATTCACAGGTGTAAGATGTGTCATAAATTAACCTCTAGTTAACTAATCATCCTTGATCACCTTTGAATGCTGTGGTCATTTCTTATTTAGCTGAGTTCTGTTGACTAATCCAATGCCATGGTTTTTCTCTCTGGTAGGTGTTACGGTCGAGCCTTGCATCTACAGAGCAGCTGTGCTTCTCTGTGGCATGATCTGGGTCGCAACTATTACTACCAGTCACTCAGTGACTTAAACAACTCAGCACAGCTGGCTGTCAAGGCTCTGCAGGTATTTGCAGCATCTGTTTTTTTTTATCACTTACTCTCATCAGATACAGGTATCATCTAGTACCATCTCCAGGTTAAACCTTTTCTACTTTTTCTCTGGAATGTTTACAGTTGCCCAATCTTTGTAACAATTTTAAAGCTTGCATTAAATAAATTGATGGCCCTCTAAAGCCTGGTTTCCATATGGTCGTTTGTAACGCAGACAGAACGCAAGACATGAAGATGCAGACAAGAATGGAAGAGACGGTGTGCATGACATCATTCCACCTAAAAATTGAAACAAAATGACATCCGAAACTCTGTGTTATTTTTCAGAAAATAACCTTGTAAATTGACTGCACCATGTCTTGATGCCAAACCTGTACTCCAGTTTCATTTGACATTTCATTGATGGTCAACTATTTAGTTGATCATAAGGGTGTAATATTTAAGCATTATGGAGAAAATGGGCAAAATTCGTGGAACTAAGTGAGTGGGACATCGTTGCACGCCGGTCATGCCAGCATGCCTGTTGGTATGGGGATACCATGGCTACTCAGTGTAGACAGTAGGCAAAGTTGATTCTGGCTCAACTTTGTTGATCATTCGTATGCTGGTTTGGGTGTGTCTTCATTGTCAGCGACACTTCTGTTTGACATGTTTCCACATGTCTGCATTGCAGTTTGCATCTTAATTGTGTTGCTCTCTACATTTCTTACGTCGATATGGAAACCAGGCTTGACTCTCACTGGGAGAGATATTGAATAAATTGACTCTGTATTCCCTTCAAAAGTTCAAGTACCTTTTTGTTATTTGCACTTTTTCATCTAATGATGTAATGCTTAGTTCCTTTTCATACATAGGAATTTTCAGCAACTCTGCTCCAAAATTACTTTTGAAAGGAGACACATATCACATTTTTGGTTATTTTTCTTTTTGGGTAGTGTCTTAAAAAAGCTGTGGTTGTGGACAGCACAAACCATAATCACTGGACAGCACTGGGAGTCATAGCAGCTGGCAAAGGTACACAAGGAATGAAGATTATATCATGTTTTTGCCTTTATGGAGAATAGAATGAAATCTGCTTTTTTCTTTTACCTACAGAAGTTTTAATGAACACTGCATACTCATTGATGCTTGAGAGAAAAAAATTGTGGCCTTGCCTAGGAAAAACTTGAACAATATTAAAATTTGTATTGTACGGTGCTCCAGATTTTGAATGATTGTTTCAAGTATGGCAGATAATGGCAGATAGTATGCAAAGCTTGCCGGGCTGCCAGGCTGTGTTTTTTTACGTTGGAGAACATCATTAAGATACTACATTGTGCTATTGAAATGGCTGAAGGTAGCATTGAATGTGAGTTTGTGTTTCTTTCAGATGTGGACAACCCTGCTTTAGCACAGCATGCTTTTATCAAGTCCATACAAGTAGAAGCTAATGTAAGAAAACCCAATTAATTCAAAACTGTGTCAAGTTTCCCCCGAGAATTTTTAGAAAAAAATGATGGATACATTCATTATCCACTGGAAAGATTTGTTGATTTTCAACATAAACTATAAGGGAAACAACAAGGTAGACTTGAAATGGGTTTTAGGCTGAACAAATGGATTGAAATGGGTTCAAAGCCCAGACCTGTAAGATACCACTCTGATGCCCAAGTAAGTTAGCTATCCAACCCCTACTTGTTAATGACTTGTAAATATTCTGTTATTGTAGTTTATTGATGAAATGTCACATTTTATGGGAAAAAGCCAAATTGCCTAAGACGTACATTGTGATGAATAAAAACACACACAAAACCTACAAATTTCACCACATGATTTCAGTGTCAAGAGCATGGCAGGCAGTGTTACAATAATTTCTCAGGATTCCACAACAGTGTGTCAGTATTATAAAGCAATTCAGAACTCAAACACACTCATTCTCAGACAAATAATTACGTTATTTTTATTATTATATAAAGTCATATGTGAAGAAATCAAGGAAAGGATCTTCAAAAAAGGCAATGGACTTAGGGGAAATTGAGGAAGAAAACATGTTACACAAGAACATATCAAAGTTAGAGTATATTGTTTAAACGATGGTAAAGTATGTGAATTCCAAACAGGCAACAAGAGTGTTATGAAGAAGTACAACAAACTGTCACACAAGAAGATATCAGCGTTAGAATTTATTGTTTTAAAGATGACAGAATTTGTGAGTATTTTGTGGATATCTGTGCCATAGAATGTGGTGGCCTGGACCAACCTGGGTGCCCTGTATCTCACTAAAGGCAACATGGAGTTAGCCCATCAAGCCTTCAAGATCTCTCAATCTCTAGAACCAAGCTATGTCAACTGCTGGATTGGTCAGGTGAGAGCTATGTTAGAATCAGGTTCTTTTTACTCCACAGCTGCTGTGGTTTTAGCACTTGCATAATACCTCTGTGATGCCCTGATTACACCACAGAAAATCATTCATTAGAAAGAAAGAAAAGATAAATTGCCTTCATATCTCAACATAGACACAGTAAAAACACCTTATGGTTGTAAGTAAATGACGAATGACTGAGAAATGATAAATTAGTTACTAAATTACAGTGTCATTTAGTAATTATGCAACCAGTTACTTAGCTGCACAGCAATGCATTTAATGTGAAAATTCAATCCTTATTTAAATCAAAATTAATAAAATTATACAACTTTTGTTTGCTATCTGTTTTTGATATACTATTTTTCTAGGCCTTGGTGGCAGAATCATCGGTTCCAGAAGAAGCCATGGATTTGTTTCGACATACAACAGAGCTAGCAACTCATGTGAGGAGAAACATTGACATTTTGTGTGACCACTGTCAGTTTCCCTCCGAACCCTTCATTCATTGATTCCACAAAACCTGTTTGGCCCTTCACCAGTACCCTGTCTAATTCTATATCACACACAGCTCTTGTAGTATTTCAAATCTTTTTGATTGATCACCATGATCATTCAGAATCCTCCAAAATATTTTTGAGGATTTTTCATTGCTGGAGAAGATTGAGCTCATCACTTGGTATTACTTGACATGAGACTCTATTGGGAAAGTTAACCACTTCGGGCCGGGGCATTTTTCAATGTTGAGGATGCTGGGCCGGCATGACTATCATTTTTTCTGTTTTCAAAATCCTTCAACAATTCATCATTCCATTTAACAGGCGTTTATAGCCGC